TCTTGTTCCAAGAATAATGGTCTAGCAATTGGAGGGGGCATAGTTAACTGGTTTGACATGATCAGTTGTTGTGCACCAGGATACAGCCAAGGAGCTTGATTGAACATCTCCTGGAACTGTCTCAGCTGTTGCTCGTCAAACAAAGGTTGGGTTGGTGAAATCACGGCCTGAGACATTGATGCAGTGCTGGGTGGAATAATTCGTTGCGCTCTGTCTGAAACATTTCCCGCACTTTGAGGTCCATTTGACGCACCCTGCACATTCGCTTCCGACTTCACGGCCGAAGCATCAGTCACAGCAGCTTCCCTCAGAGCGTTTCGATGGTGTTTCCTCAGTTTTCCTTGGTGTTTTAGGTTCCGATTTGGCGCGGACGGATGGCCTTGCATGCTTGTCTGAAGACCTTGCAGCTAATCCCTGATTTGTCGGGTCAGGAACAGGAGGTAAAAAAAGACTTCGGGGCATTTTCTGGTCTATCCTCAATTCCCAGCGGCTCATCCCTTTTTGGAGCCCTAGGTGATTCATAGACTTCTACTGCCTCAGGTTCTTTCACATCTTCTAACTGTGGCTCAGTTCCACTTGCAAGCTCAGATTCAAGACGTCTGTGGGCACGTTTCATTTCGTCTTCACCTTGTTGTAGCTCAGCGTCAGTTGCCCTCCTTCTAGCAAACATTCCGAAGAGCTCTTTTTCAATGTCGGTCTTCTTTATGGCGTTGGACTCAGAGCGTTGGGATTTCTCAGAGCGTTGGGCACATAACCTGGAAAGGTCAGCCCTAGGTTACGTCCACCAACCACCGATCTTCACCTTCAAGTTCCGTACCTCCAAGAATCAATGCAGCGCAGCTTCGGTTTTGGCCGCACGTATGGCTGGAGTCACAGCCAGGTCGAGTCTTGAGACAGAAAAAGGTAGCTACAGAATCGCAGCAGATTGAGAATGTTACTCAAGCTAAATTGGAAAACAGGGTTTGAATGCATGCTATGTACCAGACATGTATCTGGATACTTGCAGGTATAAACCCAGTAACAATGGGGATTTGTAATCACAAAAGCTAGCGGTAGCTAGCTGGAATTGATTCTTGACAAGGGACGGGCACCTCCCAAGCCTCCCAAGCAGACGGCCACGGGCTTGGAATCTTGCCAGGGTGAAGGTGTTCCTCGCTCAGCCGGGGTTTTTGCCTGTGTGCTTTGTCAGCACCTTTATTTTCTCCGTGATCACCGCAGCAAGTGTGTACTACAGAAAATTCACAAAACACCAAACAAACAGGTAAAGTTCACCCCCATACGACTTCAATGGGTTTCATGTTTGCTGGCCGACACCCATCACCTTTCACCCATGAACACATGCGATCCAACTTCTCGATGTTTCAGAGGATGCTTCCCCATGGCCAAAGATGTTAGAAATGCCTCTCTCTCTCTCTCTCTTTCTTACCCCTCTTTCTTGCTGATGGCTTTCGTCATCTTTCGTCCACCGCCCCGGGTCTCAAGTTTAGAGGATCACCACAGGTCAAATATGTACTGTGCATTTCCGCTGTAGTGACCAGTTTGAAGTTGTACCCAGTCCTGGTTTGCCTATACCGCCATCATTCTTAGCATTACCTCTCCACCATGGTTTGGCTGAGGCAATGCGCCTGCTGCGTCGCCCGCAGCGCGTGCAGCCTGCTGGGCTGGGAGGTGGGGAAGGACTGCGTGGGTTTTCTCTGCTAGGTAAAGATGAATTTTGAAGGGTTTGGGGCATCCTGAAGCTTTTCCCCACATCATTGTTTGGGTGAGGCGTTCTTGTTTTCCTGCGCCCACCCGCCTCCTCCTCCATCCGTCGTCTCCGCTCTGTCACACCCAACATAGTCACACACACACACACACCTTATTCGCGCACAACCCTGTCGCACACAACTCTGTTACACACACACACAGCATTGTTGTCACACAACATTGTCACAGGTCGCATACAACAACTTTGTCACATGCAACATTGTCACGCACACACACACAACATTCTCATACACAGCATTCCCACACACAATATTTCTCCCGCTTGCCTTTTCTGCCCCAAACAAAGTGCTGTTAGGAGTTCTTAATGCTTTCTTAAGGTGTCCACCTTGGTGTTGGATGGTGTGTCCGCCTTCCCGAGGGTCTTGTCTCCCTTTGTCTCCCTTTGTCTTCCTTTGTCTCCCTTTGTCTCCCTTTGTCTCCCTTTGTCTCCCTTTGTCTCCCTTTGTCTCCCTTTGTCTCCCTTTGTCTCCCTTTGTCTCCCAGGTACCCTTTCTTGTTTCCCTTTGTTGGATGGTGAGTCCGCCTTCCCGAAGGTCTTGTGTCCCTTTGTCTCCCTTCGTCTCCCATTGTACCCCTTCTTGCCTTGGTTGGATGGTGTGTCCGCCTTCCCCAGGGTCTTGTCTCACTTTGTCTCCCGTTGTACCCCTTATTGTTTCCCTTTGTTGGATGGTGCGCGCGCCTTCCCGAAAGTTCTGTCTCCCATTGTACCCCTTCTTGTTGCCCTTTGTTGGAT